AGCTCACAAAACTAACGTGTACATTATCTCAGACAGACGTTACAGTCAGTTATAAAGGCATGGGGCCTTTACCATGGAAAATATATTACTATTTGCTGGGTCGCAACAATTATCCATCAATATAAATATTCGAAACCTTTATAATTACCGAGAAATGAAATGGTCTGGTGAAACATTTTAAAAATTACTTCTCTTCTACCTACAAAACCTAACACACGAATTTGTGAAAATTTTCCGAATATTTGCGTGAACTTGGTTTATACCGTAAAATTTGAATGTTTTCCCTGTGTACTTGTGTACTAGCTCATTTTGTCCCCCAGTGTGCTAGTACCCGGGCCAACTAGACAGATTAATATAATTTGTAAGAACAAGTTTCATAATTGTAGTAAAATAAAATGTACAACAATACAGCTCACCTGGTACAAAGGGCAATTTTGTACACTGCAGTAGTGTTAGATGGAGTGACTGTTAGTACAAATGCTGTAAGTGAAGTTTTAAATAAGTTTGAGACAGTGTTTCAGTTTGGTAGCAAGCTCAAGTGACTGTTAGTAGTAAAAACGGTGTTAGTAAAGCGTTAGTGGCGTGAACAGTAGTTATTCAGTTTGTTTACAGTTATATAAATAGAAGTGTTAGTAATGTAGTACTATTATTTATTTAGGTAGTTTTTGTAATTTAGTTGTAGAATAAGTACTAGTGTATTTAGTACAGTTGTGGGATCGCACAAGGTTACACGATGGTCAGTGTGCGTGCGATTTGCGAACGATGGGCGAACGATAAAAAATCTGGACGATTGTTGCTTGCGCACATTTGTAAGTATGATGGACAAACGTTGTGCAATGACAATCGTGCTTGGTATGAATTGAGAAATGGCTTAACAATATATACGGTTTCGTGTTTAACTCGATTTTTAAATATGTTTCTATATTCAAGCTACATAGATTAGCTGATATTTCTATATTTTTCCGAAATTAAGAAATGGTGTTTCGGTGTATTTTTTAACGACCCAAATAGAAACATGCACAATTATAACACATATGCAGATAAACATAGCCACTTTGTACATGTACGTGGACCGTAGTTTTCCCCATCCGGACACTTACGTAACTCGTCAAGGTGTGAAAAACCAGGTGAAGTGGAGCTATAGATCAAAACGAATGCAAATATCAAATACTTTACGTCGAGTTGTGTTTTCATAACAGTCATACGGTATCATATATCGGCTCTCTATGTTTGATTAAGGGCGCCATATAAAACTCCGGTAACTCATTAAAATGTTATTTTGTTACCTGGGAGCCAAACCCAAACTTGACAGTCTTACACTCACTGTAATGTTGTGTAACACGCATTGTAAAATTGAATATAATATGTAATTAATATGATGTGAAATTTATGTATACAGTGTTCCTTATTCCATACAAGCCTTCCAGATGTTTTTCATTTCGTTATATTGATCAACCAATTCTACCAAATCGCACATTTGTGGGGAGAGAAGCGCACAACGGGGCTAACGATTGTTAAATCGCACAGTTGTGCGCATGATGTACGCACGCTATTTTTGGTGCGTTGTGCGGTCATACAACTTTTTAATATTAGTGCTGTAATGTTATATGGAAGGTTTGTCGAAATAAATGTTTGTAGTACAGTAGTAGTGTTCGGAGTGTGTTATTGTTGATATATTGGTTATCGTAACAGGTGGACGGTATAAACAATAGTGTTAAAACACGCCGTCATCTTGATAGCCTAGTAAAAGAAAGGCTTTAAGCTTGACGACTTCAATAACAACACGCCGTCACCTGGATAGCCTAGTAAAAGATAGGCCTTAAGCTTGATGACGTCAATAACAACACGCCGTCACCTTGATAGCCTAGTAAAAGATAGGCTTTAAGCTTGATGACGTCAATAACAACACGCGTCACCTGGATAGCCTAGTAAAAGATAGGCTTTAAGCTTGATAACGTCAATAACAACACGCTGTCAATTTGATAGCCTAGTAAAAGATAGGCTTTAAGTTTGATGACGTCAATAACAACACGCTGTCAATTTGATAGCCTAGTAAAAGATAGGCTTTAAGCTTGATGACGCCAGTATCAACACGCTGTCAACTTGTAAACTTGGTCTCAGGTAAAGGTTATTGTTTTATAACATTGGGTTGACTGAATTAAACAATGCGGGAACAACTTGCATACATATCTGGTTTGCTGTTGTGCCCTCTAATAAGGGACACAAAATGACTCTGCCACGCCCCTTGGGTTCTTCATATCCTTTAATCTTCATAGCAAAGTTTCTATTTCATAGTGCTTGACAATACCTCTAATTGACTTAAGCTTAATCGTTCATCTAAGAAATGAAGGTCATAAATACAATCTGTCCCCTCGCGGGCCGAGTCACACCGCAAGGAGGAACGTTTCCTGAAATGGCACTAACTGTTAATAGAACGCTAAACTTAGCCAACTTGCGTGAAAAAACACACCTTGCGTCGAAATGTAGCAGCAAATGTTGTGAATTGTTATTCGATATCATGGAGCTGTTTTCAAAGCCGTGAATGTTATAATGGGTTTAACCGTTTTCTTAACCCCATGACGGTAATGTAGAGGCTCTTCGAACAGAAAAGAAACATATCACATGTGAACGAGAACTTGTCGGAGAAGTGCGTAATAGAGAAATCAAGTGTTTAAGTGTTAATGGGTGCTTCTCAGCTATTAGGAAATTTTCCCTCAGATTTTAAATGTTGGTAAAATGATTTAATTTTAACTTATAACACTTCTATATATATCTAACATTCTTCAATTATTAGTGAAAAGATAACTGGGGGCATATTTTGTTGTTTTTTGGTGTTTTTAACAAGGTACACCAATAGTGACGCCGATTACCTTGACATTACAAATATCAAATCAGAAGTGGTATTTTCCATTAAGGTTGCTTGAAAGATGGATTTGGTAATTCATCTACATTGATTCTATACCTTAAATTACCATTCCTTAAGAAAAAGTGTTCTTTTATGTTTCTTAAGTACAGTTAGAAAAAGTGACGCCAATTACTTGTATACCAGATTACATATGTATGTTCTCAGATTTGTCCATTGCTGAACAGTCTGCCTTCTCAGGAAAAATGTGTGGTGATCAACTCATTAAGATTTCTCAATAATATGGGATGTTAAATTTCAGAGAAAAGTGGAAGATAAATTGTTTATAGATACTTTTAGTTATGAAGATTATTGTTGACATTTTGACAACCCCAAGAAAGTGACGCCCATTATGTTGACAATGGTACTCCAACCTGATGTCCTTATTAATGGATTGCAATGAATAATTGAATATACTACATTTTAAGTATGTTTTTATAAGGGACAATGCGCCATGGCATAAGCTCAATTGACCCTTTTAGCCGGTATTTACCTGTATTTAGAGTCCCCCCTTTAAATTTGTGAGGGTTTAAGAAGATGGTTGAAATTACACAAGACAAACAAATTTCAGAATTTGTATCGCAACTTTATTAAGATTTTTAAAATACATTTGTTCCTTTTGGATGAAAATATATCTGGTTTTGGACATTACCTGAATATTTAAAATATGATACATACATTCATAGTTCAAACATAATTTGATACAGAGAGTATTACAGACAGTCTGTTAATATGACTTGCTGTCGCATGCTTTATCTACTAATGCATTAGTTATTCATAGTCACATATTTGATACAGTATTACATTTTGTATATATATGGACATAACAGGTAGTTACACATGACAAAACATGTCATTGGAATTAGACACGAAACATGTCATTGAAATTAGACACGAAACATGTCATTGGAATTAGACATTAAACATGTCATTGGAATTAGACACAAAACATGTCAAACATGTCAATGGAATTAGACACGAAACATGTCATTGGAATTAGACACGAAACATGTCATTGAATTAGACACGAAACATGTCAAACATGTCATTGGAATTAGACACGAAACATGCCATTGGAGTTAGACACGAAACATGTCATTGGAATTAGACACGAAACATGCCATTGGAATTAGACACGAAACATGTCACTGGAATTAGACGTATAGTTAATTTCATTAATTGATTACTTATCACAATAATCATTTTAAGAAGGGGTCAAAACCTGAACCTGTTAATTATAAAATTAGGCCTGCTCTTGTTGTAGTTTACATTTATGAATATTTTACAATTAACATCTCTTCGAATACAAATCTAAAAAATGTCACATACAATGACTTAACATTTTAACGGTGACACATTGTAAAACAAGAGGCGATGTACCTGGGTAATGCCGTAATACTAAAAGTCTTAAACAGTATATATCATTTAAGACTTACTGCAATTTTGTTTTAGATGGCATGGACACAACAAGTAAAACACAGGGACATTCAAAGAAAGTATTTTTAAAACGTTGATGTTTAATGGAAAGACAACACTTCTTCAGTTTCAGTCTCGTGGAACAGCCATCATCATTTGTGGGTTGCGTGTAGTATTATTACTGTAAGTTAAATTTGTAAAAATATCCTGGACCCATGCATCACAATATCGGGAGGCTCAATAGCCCCAACAACATCATCTGCAGTCACGGTGTGTAGGATATCCCCATCCAGTCATCCACTATGTACCAGCGAGAAAAAGCGTACAAATGGCCACTCGTGAAACTGTTAAATTAACAAGAAATTGGAATTACTTTCTAGTTTTGGTGATATTTTTATTCACTCGGTAACACATTTATAAATGCATTTTCTTGCTCTAATTTAAAGATATGCACAATCACTCAAATCGTCAAATTTATTAAGAAGAATTTTAAAAACATAAATTTGTGTAGACTGGTAAATATATTTTAACAAGTTCAAAAGAGGCAAAACAAGAATAAAAAATAAAACAAAAACAAATATTTTCTGAAACAGAAACAAATAATGAGGCAATTACACCAAACACAATACAGCAGCCGTGTTTCTCCTAACTCAGAAAATATGTTTATAAATGTACCTGAAATAGGCGTTTGGAGATTTTATTTTTAAAAGCCAAGTTGGGAGAAACACAACTATTAAATTAAACAAACTGAACTATATACTTACAACGGCAGGCAACATTCTTGAACCATTGGCATTTTTTTAAAAACTGCCCTTGGTTATAACTGTAATATTGCAATGTTCAAAATCTTATTACACGTTTATTTAGAAAGTATAAGTTTTTAATCGATATTTCAGCTCAGAATCATACAAGATGTTTCTAGCACATTCTGTAACAGATATATTCCAAATAACATGGGTACATATTCAATTTAGTACCTTTTTTGCGAACAGACTGATCCTCTGTGATGGGCTGGTCCTCTATCATGGACTGGTCATCTGTAATTGGTTGGTCTACAGGCTGGTCCCCGGTGATGGATTGGTCTATGGGCTGGTCCGCTGTGGCGGATTGGTCTATTGGCTGGTCCCCTGCGACGGGCTGGTCCTCTGTGACAGATTGGTCTATGGGCTGGTCCCCTGTGATATGCTGGTCTATGGGCTGGTCCCCAGTGACGGATTGGTCTACAGGCTGATCTGCTGTGACAGATTGGTCTATTGGCTGGTCTGCTGTCACAGGCTGTTCCCCTGTGATGGCCTGGTCCCCTATGATATACTGGTCTATGGGCTGGTCCCCTGTGACGGAGTGGTCTACGGGCTGGTCTGCTGTGACAGATTGGTCTATTGGCTGGTCCCCTGCGACGGGCTGGTCCTCTGTGACTGATTGGTCTATGGGCTGGTCCGCTGTGGCGGATTGGTCTATTGGCTGGTCCCCTGCGACGGGCTGGTCCTCTGTGACTGATTGGTCTATGGGCTGGTCCGCTGTGGCGGATTGGTCTATTGGCTGGTCCCCTGCGACGGGCTGGTCCTCTGTGACTGATTGGTCTATGGGCTGGTCCCCTGTGACGGAGTGGTCTACGGGCTGGTCTGCTGTGACAGGCTGGTCCCCTGTGATGGGCTGGTCCCCTGAGATATTCTGGTCTACGGGCTGGTGCACTGTGACGGGCTGGTCCTCCAGTGTCTGGAAATTTAATTTCAGACACATACATTTAAAATAAATTGTACACATAATTGAAAGCAAATACCCTATTTTTAAATGCACTTTAAAGGAAATAGGTTTTATCAGTATGGTAGACACTTGCAAGAATGTTCCTGACTATAATAAATGTTTTAGGTCTACTTTTATATCTAGATGCAAACTTACATTTGGTATGACAGGAGAGTATGCAATGTCTTCTAGGTCCGTGGTGATCTCTTCCAGTAAAGTGTCCGGCATCTGTAAATATCCCATGCTTATTATACAAATGTTCAATAGGGAAACAATTCAGACTGACTCTCACATTTATTGTATTTTCACGCTACCCACGACAAATACATTTGCTTAAATTTCTATTGTGTATCATTAACACTATTCATGAAAAAACAAATACCATCTACTACTACTATATATATACATATTACCAGATAAGATTATTAAAACCTTTTTCGCATAAATGTGAAGATAAGAAAATATCCTGTGTGCATACCTTGTCAAGGTCCCGCAGGATATCGCTTAACCCAGATAACTCCATCAGGTTATATGTAAAACCTTCCTCACTAATGTCGGAGGAACTGTCATTCACCACATCAGGATGTGCTACCGGTACCACGCAACCCCCCGGTTCTTCCATATGGTCATAAAGGTCTTGGTCAGAATCAGAGTCAGGGTCTTGGTCAGAGTCATCCAGCATGCTACTTGTACTTTGGTTGGAGATTTCAGAATCTGAGGGAGAAAGTACATTGATATTAAAGATTACAGACTATATTCTATAAATTTGACTTTAACCCTTGAATAAGTATGATGTCATAAATATATCATACACATTGATTACCATATTTACAGTGATATCATTATCTAACAATTGTCACCTTCATCAGATGAATCTTGTCCACCCCGAGTTCTCACTCCTCTTCCTCCTCGAGCAATTGATATCCTGCCACCTCTAGTCCTTACTACTCCCCGTTCTGTAGCTCCTCTACCTCTGGCCTGTCCTCTTTTTCTTTCTTGTCCTCTTTCTGCAACCTGTCCTCTACCTCTGGCCCTTCCTCTCCCTCTGGCCTGTCCTCTACCTCTAACCTGTCCTCTACCTCTGGCCTGTCCTCTATCTCTGACCTGTTCTCTTTCTGCAACCTGTCCTCTACCTCTTGCCCTTCCTCTACCTCTGACCTGTCCTCTTTCTCCAATCTGTTCTCTGACCAAATCCTTTCTCTCCCAATCCTGGACATGTAACTTATTTTCACACTCCAATCCATCCGCATCGTCATGATGGCTTATACACGAACAACAAAAACAGGACAAATTCCTTGTGAAAAGTGTGAAAGGTCTTGCCCCAGATTTTATGCTTTGGACTTTTCGGGTTCCTGATAAAGTTTTTGTTTTACTTCTTCCAGGTCGGTCTCGACTGATGTTGTTAACCAGAAAGAATGTCCTCTTGTGGTGAAGGTGGTCATTTTTTTTTTCAGTTTTCTCCAACTTTTCTTTCCCAAAATTGAATAAATCTTCTGCATTATTGATTACGCTATTCATTCCCATCACCGACCGTTTTGCTGATGATTTGACGACTGCCCCTGCGCCGTCCGATGGCCCTTTACCATGGCGGGAACCGTAGAAGTGACGTTCAACCGGAAATCCGTGGTCATGATTGGCAAAAGAAATGTCGGTAAAGGGCGTCTTACTCTTGTATTGGGCCGAGCAACCATCAGTCAGTTGTATTTCTCTCTCAATTGTCAGACCTCTCACATTTTGCAGGTGTTCATTGGCAAGAGAAGTAAATTTAGCAACAGCGTGAGCATCGTGCTGCAAATCATCCGATACAAACACCATAGCCTCCTGAACAACATCAACACATTCCTCTCCCGGGCACTGGTAATAGGCGACTGTTGGATGGATTGTAACACTATTGTGTCCCCAGTGGGCACTTTGTACTTCATTCTGGTTTGAACATGAATAGTTTTCGGAAAAGTCCATGTTCAAGACGACCCAGTTAGGAGGTACCGTCTTCACCAGTCCCGAGAATTGAACTTGCTGCCAATTTGCCACAAAGATGTGTTCCGCTAACTTTTCCAACTCATTGGCGAGCTCGAGCACAACCAAATTGGCCCCTTTCTCGTGTGACTTGGGCATGACTTGTGTAGTTTCCTTTCCTTTTCTGACTATCGTAACCCTTTCCCATTTTGTATAGGTTATTGTTCTGTCAGAAGCTCTGGCAATGAGTGGGGTGTAGAATGCTACAATGCCGTCGGTTCCACAGCTTTCACATTGCCTCTTAATACACTGTTCCTTGTGCCATTTTTGGCCTAGTTCTCTCGCGCACATAGTTTTTTCAAGTGCCTCACTTTTGTTGTTCAGTTTCACATTACTTTTGCACTTGATCGCCAACTGTGACAGTGACCGTAATTTTAACTCGGCATTGGTGCATGATTCGCAAAGACATGCATTCCATTTTTGTTTTTTTGTTGTTTCCACATCAGCTGGTTTGTTTTTTGAAAATGTTGAAAAACTGACGATTTCCTCCGGGTTAGCTTCTTTAAACTCAGAAAATGTCTGTCTTAGCGGTCTATCCAGCACTCTTCTCTCTGTTTGATCCAACTTTATCCTTTTAGATATTGGCAGATTTGTAGATACATCTCCACGCCGGAAAAAATTAGTAATCTTTTCTTTTGTTTCATTCAGAATTTTGTCGTTCCTGGGCTTTCGCTTTGGGTGGTCATCTTGGTTAGCCAATTTGCTTAGATATGATTGGCTGATACCTAGATAGGAACTTGCTGTTTTGTGCATTCTAAATTTTTTCAAAATTGATAGCTTCTTTGCAGCCATTCGCCTTGCTACATGATTACTTTTCAAAGTTTCAATAAGTGTTTCTCTTAGCTGTAGTTTTTTTCGTGGAGACTTCTTTTTCAGTTTTTGGATTTTTACTTTCAACCGTAATTCCCTCAATCTCACTCTATCTTTTTCCTTTTTTCTTCTTATTTTCTGTGGGTGCCTCTTTTTTCTTGACTCCTGTTGTTTCTTACGCCAGTATTCCCTTTGTAACTCTCTTTCTTTTCTCGTGAGAACTTTGGACGCTTTCCTTAAAACAATGCCCTCACTTTTTTGTCTTTCACGGAACCTGTCAAAATAATTCACTATGCTGATGCCATTTGACATATAAATATTTTGATTAGAGCTGTTACGTGTACCTGAGTTCCTGAATACGGGTTAATTTTAGATAGGAAACCGGATTTGAAAATGTGTACCTGGGTACCCGTCAAAATAGGTAAATGTCTATCACTGCGTGTGTCAACAAATTCAAAGAATAAAATATTTCAACATTTATGTATGTTTTATGTTTTCACTCACTAGGGATGACATAGCATGTTCACATACAACATAATTTTGACTGCATTTCACCTACAGTGTATTTCATTCATGTCAGATGTGTACTTTATAGCTTTACCAAATACTTTAGTATCATCAACCAAGCAGAGGTCACAGATTGTGGATTTTAGTATCTCTACCCAATACCCTGATACCACTCTCCACTGCAGTGTTTTTTGCATTCATGCTGATTCCTGATTGGTCAAATAGTTTGAGTACCCAGTAACATGGGGTCAATATTCTGTACACGTGACAGCCCTAATTTTGGACACAGGACAATAGAGTGCATTTTGATTTCCTGGACACTTAATTAGTTTGCATTGGCATTCCCAGAAACAATTTATGATTCGCAGGGTCTTAAATTCACGGTTTCTGACATTGATATTTTACACCACAGTCTTTTTAAATGATTTTGTTACCTTTGCTGGTTTTTGCGGTTTCTTAGAGTGTCTTTTTTCTTTCTGCCCCAATGTCCTTTGTTGCCAAGCTATCTTTTTCCTCAACTTCTCCTTTTCCTTGAATGACGTATCATTTTTTCTTTTCTCTCGATATCTGAGAAATACAAAATTCAATATAATATAAATGGTATGCCTTTAAATTTAATAATCCTTCTCGTCATCACATATTTAATAATCCTTCTCGTCATCACATATATATTAATTTCACCACTTGAGCTATAATTCAAGATATGTAGTCAAACCAATTGTAGACTCCAGACCTGTGGCGATTATAACTTCATTAATACTTCAATTCAAAGTACCATTATTATTTTTTTAACATTATTGTATAACAGTTAGTTACTTTACCGTTTAGCTCTTTCAGCTGCAGTAAGTTTATTCTGTACTGTGGCGTCGTCTTTTTTCTTTGGCATGCGAGCACGGAGAACAGGGAAATTCTGCAAAAAAAAAAAAAAGAGAAATTTTACCTCATGAAAATAACTTCCAGGTACAACACTGCAATTATTTGGTTTCGCAAATTTTAAAACACAAACAACAGTATCTGAAGGAAAATGAAAGATATATGCTGTCATAAGTTTTTTACAATTAAACTACAGGGGGTTTTACTGGTTTACCAAATTTGGTAACTTTTAAAGATTTTGAAATTTAGATTATAAAATTTTGAGGGGTCCCGCCACCCCCACCCCCTCTTGGCACACTTTGTCAAACATAATTACCATATAAAGAAATTGATTTAAATGATCTTGTAACCTTAATTAAACATTTATAAGCCAATTATTAAATTTAGTCCATTGACAACCTGTTCTTTCAACAATATTTCAACAAACATAATCGCAGGAAAAAAATATGATGAAAAGTGTGCATTATTTTTGAATTACCACCAAAAATTAATTGGAGATTACTTTTGACATGATACCATAATGTCAAAATAATAGCGAACCACTTTTTGGTAATATTTACTGAACATAAAATTTAAGTACTCTCACACAGTATTTACTCTACATTATATTCACAAATCTTGTAACCGAAATCCAATCATGTTTTATCTAGATATTTTGTTATAACCTGAACAAGTAAGGCCTGTGTGAATAATGGAGATTACGATTGACATAATTATTAATTTATGGAGATTATATTTGACAGGAAAATCAATGTCAATATAACTGCCGAACTGAAAACCAAAAATCTGATTAAATATTTCCTAAACATGCAACTAGATATGATAATCCAATAATGACAAGTATGTGGTTCGTCTTCATTTTAATTTAATGATTCATTAAAGTGATACATTTTTGTTCAAAGTATATTGGTGTTTGGCAATTATTATTGACATATCTGGCTGCATGCTTCGACACCTGGGTTCGCAACGTATACTGTCAAGGCATAATCTCCGCACGAAAATAAACAAAATATTATCGTTCGTATGTGCTATACACATTACAATTATGCAGCTTAGAATGTCAGATAAACCATCTTCAGATCGCTTTAATTCATCTACGATTAGGAATACGCCGATATCATTTACACACAGAAAGCATACACGGCAATTACTTGTCAAATTATTTTGTGTCAATACATAATCGCCGTTAAAAAAAACTGGTGTCAAACGTAATTGACGAACACGGATTTCACTGGAATCCACATGAAACTTGCGAGAAAATGCGAGTATTTTCTATCAATCGAATCCGTGAATGCATCCAATTGCCATCATTAACTTGTAAACTATGTAAGCATTTCATAAATAGCTCCAACATGCATCGTTATTTATTCATGACGGCAATTACTTGACACAATTAGTTGACCTACGCCAAACCTACCTTCATGTTTCCCTCTCCGGTGTGAATGTGCTGGAATCGCTGACGTAGTACACATAATTTGGTCTCAGGGATATTTTAGCACCCTTTAAAAAAGTCCGCATATGTACGTGTGGTACAAACGATCCGACTGAACGCCGATTACGGAATTGACCGACACTTGACGTCTCGGTAATAAATGATGAATTTATAACTAATCCATTACAATATGAAAAGCTTTGTTATTTTAAATCGATAAATAGAACCATTGTTACCTAACACAATCCAACAAATTATCATACCAGAACCATCAATTGTTTAGGTGTAGTTTGAAGTGCTAATTTATATATTCAAAAATACGTCATTCCATACATATGTCACAAGAATTAAATAGTGAAAATCTTATCATGTTTCAAGTCCATCAATTTCCCGAGCAAAATGGCGACGAAAATTCTTGACATCAGACTAGTGAAACATATTTCAAGCCCGACCCCTTGAGAAATGAAACATCATATTGTAATTGCTATCTTAGAAATTAAGAAATAACACATTACTGTCAAATTTCTTTATTTACCCGCATTCTAATAAAAAATAAATTTGAAAAAGTGACGGCAATTATTATTTCCTAATAGCTGAGAAGCGCCCTAATCCATGTAGTATGGCTAAGTAGGAATACGTTCATTTTGGTGTTGTAGCAGGAGTCTCGTTGTCAAGGATCCACAAGGTAAGTTTCGCATCAGGATTGTTACTGTTTTCTTTTGTCTATATACCTGATGTCTTTAAACACATTTTTAACAAACCATCATCGATAATAGGGGGCTAGTCAAATACTCTATCGTTTGCGGTCCGTCCTTAAACAGTTCTCGATATCACCATTTCTCAAAAAGTGCTAGAAGGAGCATAGTTGCTTTGTGAGTACCTGTTGGTCCCTAGTTGTGCAGATTTACGTTTGAGACTGATGGGATAAATGAAATGGCTGACAAGGGGCTATCTTGGATTTTGATAGTTATTTAAGTTTGTTATTGCTATCACTCAGAAAGAACTGGGTGGATCTTTCTCGGATTTGGTATTGAGGTTCTCCTTGGTCTTTTATTTTGCATGTTTAATTTTTAGACCGATAAAATAAACGAAATCGTTAGACAGGGTTAGAGACAAGGTTAACACTATACTACTTGTTAGACAGGGTCAGAGGCAATGTTGACACTATACTACGTGTTAGACAGGGTCAGAGACAAGGTTAACACTATACTGCGTGTAAGACAGGGTCATAGACAAATTTAACACTATACTACGTGTTAGACAGGGTCAGAGGTAATGTTTACACTATACTACGTGTTAGACAGGGTCAGAGACAAGGTTAACACTATACTACGTGTTAGACAGGGTCATAGACACATTTAACACTATACTACGTGTTAGACCGGGGCAGAGGTAATGTTCACACTATACTACGTGTTAGACAGGGTCAGAGACAAGGTTAACACTATACTACGTGTTAGACAGGGTTAGAGACAGGTTAACACTATAATACTTGTTAGACTTGGTCAGAGGCAAGGTTGACACTATACTACGTGTAAGACAGGGTCAGAGGCAAGGTTAACACTATACTACTTGTTAGACAGGGTCAGAGGCAAGGTTGACACTATACTACGTGTTAGACTGGGTCAGAGGCAAGGTTAACACTATACTACCTGTTAGACAGGGTCAGAGGTAATGTTTACACTATACTACGTGTTAGACAGGGTCAGAGGCAAGGTTAACACTATACTACCTGTTAGACAGGGTCAGAGGTAATGTTTACACCATATTACTACGTGTTAGACAGGATCAGAGGTAATGTTTGCACTATATTACGTGTTTCGCGGGGTCAGAGGTCACGTTTAAACTATACTATCTGTTAGATATGATGTGAGGTTTACACTATACTATGTATTGGACAGGGTCACAGGTAATGTTAAGACAATACTACGTTTTTGACAGGGTGAGAGGTAATGTTTACACAATAGAACGTGTTGGCAGGGTCAGAGGTAATGGTTACACAATACTACGTATACAACAGGGTCAAAGGTAATGTTTACACTATACTTCGTTTTGGACAGGGTCAGAGGTAATGTTTACACAATACTTCGTTTTGGACAGGATCTGAGGTAATGTTAAACGTGCTTTCATCTCAAATGATAACGATCTCTACATCACTTGGTTTAAACAACTTTATATTTCACTAGTGAAGTAGTAGTATTAAAATACGATCGTAATAGACGAAGAAGCGTGCCGAATAAAAAATCTTTCGTCAATTTGAAGGGGCTTATCGGTTCGTGCTTGCCATAATGCAATTCATCGACATGCGAGAAAATCATTCTGCTTTCTTTTCTTGTTTTGTATCTGTTACACATTTCCCATCCTAGATTTTGTAATATTAATGATTTAATGACTTTTGCAATGTTAGAAAAACAAGAAATGCCAGTTAGCTGCACGGTACCTTTAAATATGGATTATTTCATACTTTGACACTTTGTAATAACCATACATTAGATATTCATACAACAGGTATTGCAAAATTGTAAAACCAAAATATAATTAAAAACACAAAAAAGTAGTTTTTTGTTTTTCTGATATAACTAATAAGAACTAAATATTTGTAGTGCGTGGACTGTTAAAATATTCTCATATCATGACGTTCTCAAGACTAAAATAAAGTTGTCCCCTAAAGGGAAATCCGGAAGTTCGTGTTATCTTTGTTTAAAGGGCGCACTTCCTGGCGAGCTCACAAAACTAACGTGTACATTATCTCAGACAGACGTTACAGTCAGTTATAAAGGCATGGGGCCTTTACCATGGAAAATATATTACTATTTGCTGGGTCGCAACAATTATCCATCAATATAAATATTCGAAACCTTTATAATTACCGAGAAATGAAATGGTCTGGTGAAACATTTTAAAAATTACTTCTCTTCTACCTACAAAACCTAACACACGAATTTGTGAAAATTTTCCGAATATTTGCGTGAACTTGGTTTATACCGTAAAATTTGAATGTTTTCCCTGTGTACTTGTGTACTAGCTCATTTTGTCCCCCAGTGTGCTAGTACCCGGGCCAACTAGACAGATTAATATAATTTGTAAGAACAAGTTTCATAATTGTAGTAAAATAAAATG